TGTTTTAATGATATATAGTGGTTTTACAAGCACAAACAAATTTTAAATTTTAATAAAGGGCATTAATAGGAAGCCTAATCATGTCACATTCAAGACACTAAACCTGTTAGAACTTTATTAATGAACCAAGTAAACGGCTCTAGTCTACACCATTAAAGTGCCTTTAAAAGTACACACTTTGGCCATACAGCCTAGTTAATAAATTTCATCTAGCTCATCTCAAAGGGGTTCTCCTGGGGCTCTGATTTCTCTCTCTCTCTCTCTGCCTCCCTCCCTCCCTCCTTCCTCACATACACATCTGAAAAGATGAAGCCACTTTTAATGGCATGCCAGATCTCAAACCAGTTTTGGGGAAACAACAAAGTCATTGATGGTGAAACCCAAAGCCTAGTGTATCAGTCTACATGGACATAGAGTTCCAGTGTGTTGTGGACAAAGGCTCCAGTGCATCGGCACGCCACCAATTAACAAGAATCTCGCCTTCAAGAGCTGCTTTTTTTCCACTGATCTCATTCAAGGCTGCTTTAAACATGCACAGCTTTCAATCTGAGGCATTCATAGAATTCCAAAAGGCTTAATGTCCACTCGATGAGCTTTCTGCTTTGTAATTTTGCAATGAAAAGATCTAATAGCGGACTATTAAATACGTTTCAGAACTGCATAGCAGTGCCTTCCAAAATGACCAGGGGGTAGGAAAACATAAATAGGCCAATCCAAGGACTTTATACACACGGTGTCTTAGTAAATTACTCCATGTGATGATAATATGTTTAGGAAGTATATATTTAAAACAAATTCTCTTGCTTTAAAACAAATGACTGGATATGAAATTTACATGCGCTAGAAGCATTAAATATTCTTTTAATTCCCCAACCTTGGTTGTGAAACCCCTGATTCTAATGGATAGAAAAGTTAAAAGGCTGACCTTTTTAGGCTTGCAGTCAGTGTGATATGAGCACAGATGTGAAGGGACTCCCAGATGTAGCAGAAAGTGATTGGAAGTGGCTGGCTGCTGGAAATTCCCATTTTAGACAGCGCACATGTCCATGCTAATTTTCTCTGTTGAGTAAAAGAATCTAAGCATGCTAATGTTTCCTCATTCTATCATGTGAATATGCAGGGGGTATACTAAATAACAGAAACACCTCCCAAAATACTAATACTCACAGTTCATTTTGTCAGATATTCGTACTATATTGGTACATTTTGTAGGTTGACAAATGCTCACCGTAGCCCATCTTACCTGTCCATTAATGGAAAAGGACCACTATAGGATCACCACTGACCAGATATCATTTATCTGGTTGACTATTCTCAGCACAAGTTATAAATAGCAGCATGTTAACAAGCTCCTAAAGTTAAAGTTAAAGTGTAAAGTTAGATGCTGTTGTTGAATTTTTTCCATGCACGATGTGTGTCAGTCATCTTCTAGCCCTTCATCATTGGACAGTCTCTTACCACAGGGCCACAATTGGCTGGATGTTTTCAGCGTTGGTCTACTCCTATCCCAGTGGTGACACTGTATTTGTATTGATAAACTGTGCAGCATAGATGGGCTACAATTAGTACATTTATACTAGTAGTGTACCAAACACAATGGCCAATGAGTAAGAGTATTTCTTGTGATTATATGTGTATATATATATATATATATATATATATATATATATATATATATATATATCTCGCAGAAAATTAAACCTCAACAAATAAATGTGACACACCGTATTTTCCGTATTTATTTTTCAAATCTGAGAAAGAGCGGAGCTTGATTTTGATTTTGTACTGTTCTCTCAGTTAAAAGCTTCCGATGCTCTGATGGTGACACTTTGGTGGTCTTGCATGGTTGTTAGGAGTGCCATTTTCTCTATATCTTTTGAAAATTACCTTCAGTTTTGCAAACTCCTGTTTTTTTCCCTTCTCATGTTCTTTAATGTTTCCTTTCCTCATGCAAAAGCACTCTTTTTTATATCTAGTCTCCTGAGGAATATCGCCTGAAAAATGACTTCATAGTATTTTGACTGGAAATTAAATAAATGAAGGTGGTCTCTGGTGTCTACACACCGTACATACATGCACACATCGGTAAGACCTCTGTTTTACATCAATTAATGTAATATTGTATCTTAATAATGCTATACTTACACCTAAACCTAACTGTAACCATACCCTCAGTTATGAAATGTTTTGGCATTTATGGTTACACACAGAAGACAGTATCATATGTTAAAATGTCCCTTCATGGTCAAAATTGTCATGTTTTTGTGTCATGATGGGGATATTTTGTTCCCACAGAGAGCTGAACACATACACTCACTCACACACACACACACAGACACTCACTCATGCATATACACTCATACAAGCACACACACAAGCACACACACTCTCACACAAGCTAATTTATGCAGTTAAAATCTGGCCAGAGGTCATGTTTGATTAAAGATGACATTCAGCCACTCGCATGACCCAGCAAAGGGCACATGAAGACAAGGACTGACACCAATCACATCAAATAAGCAAAGAGAGAGAGTCAGACAAAGAGGAGTGGAGTCAGGCCAGCAACAATAAAGCGCCTCTTTCTGCTGTATCTACAGTGCAGCAGTGCGTATGTCTACACTCAACAAACCAGCCTAGAGGGAGATCAAAAGATGCAAGACAATACACAGCATCTGGGGCAATGATGCGCACAAGTGTACATGTGCATGAGAGAGAGAGGGAGAGAGAGAGAGACAGAGAGAGAGAAAGACAAAGAGAGACTGTGATCGAGGGAAAGAGAGAGTGTGAGAGAGAAAGAGACTGTGATAGAGAGAGAGTGTGAGAGGGAAGAGAGAGACTGTGAGTGAGACAGACTGTGAAAGAGGGAGAGAGAGAGTGTGAGAGGAGAGAGACTGAGCGACAGAGACTGTGATAGAGGGAGAGAGCGTGAGAGTGAAGAGAGAGACTGAGTAAGACAGAGAAAAAGACAGAGAGAGAGAGAGAGTGTGGTAGAGGAAGAGAGAATGTGAGAGAGGGGAGAGAGACTGTGAGTAAGACAGACTTTCTGACGGTCCTTTATTTTGAATAAGTAGTGCTGTGGGAGCACTCAGCAGTCACACTGGGTAATCTCAGCCAATAAACTAAATAATAAAACGTGTGTATATATATATATATATATATATATATATATATATATATATATATATATATATATATATATATATATCACCTTTGTTGGAAGAAAACCTCGCATCTCCAAAATGGTAACTGTATAAGACAAGGAAAAAATCTACTTTATTGCAAGTCAATGGAACCAGACCCGCCCCCCCCCCACCCCCACCCCCAAGGCATTTTGGGTCATTTCTTTTAGTCCATTCATCATGAAATTTACACACAATATAAAAGGTAACAGGTATTTTCAAATTATGTCATGAACTGAAAAACGTCAAAAATGGAGATACAAGGTTTGCTTCTGACAACGACAGCGATATGAGTAAATACAACATACAAGCCTTTAGTTCAACGGTGTATATTAACTGAACTCTGGTGCAAAGCTTATTATCAGTTACAGAGCACACTGCCTCCTCATAGCACCATATTTCTTTAAAAGAGTCCAGGTCTTTCATTCTCCAATAAAAATTATAATCACTTTCTTCATCTCATCAGTCTAGAGAGAGTCATTATTGTAAGCCTCGCAGTCTGTACTTCGGCCACCTTGCTTTTCCAGCTAATGTATATTGCCATTTTAGGCTGACCAATAATAAAACTGTCTCTTAAAGACAGAGAGAGAGAGAGAGAGAGAGAGAGAGAGAGAGAGAGAGAGAGAGCTGTGAAAAGGAGACACAGGGAGAATATCCTGAATAATAATAACCAAAGATAAACATCTGATCTATGACAGTACACAGCTGCGTGCAAAGTTCCCCAGGTTCAGAAAGATGACAGAAAATGAAAAGAGCGGTTATGCAGCTGACCTCGTCATTTAAAGGTAACACATTAAAGTGTGTTCTAAATGCTGTAATTAGCATTAATTGTATCCACCAGCACTTAAAAAACTCTCCAGCTGCGGTACAGGCGAGTCTAAAAACATCATGATTTAATTAAATGACCAGCTTAACAAATCAAGACAAACCAAACCAACTGTTCACTCAAACCAATGACTAACTAAGGTGTTTCAGTGTGGATATAAAGCTGTGCATGGCGGAAAATCCCTCAGTAATGAAGGTGTACTAAAAAAGCCCAGTGAAGTCATTCAAGGTGTTTTCCTTAACCCTTCAGAGCAGCTCCTGCTCATTAAATACAAAAGTGTACGAAACGCCTGATTATGTAGCCATAAAAAGCCTTTCTGAACCAATATATCTTGTCCTTAAGTCTCAGGCAAAACCTAAAGTGTTGGTTGGTGACATAAACAGATGCATATTCCCTTATGTTTAGCTTTTAAGGATGTTTAAAACAAAGAAGTCAGGCTAACGCCTCGTGCAAGAGCAATATTTAGTGTTTTGAGTCATTCTGAGTGGGAGACCTGTAATCCTGAGCATGTGACACACCAACAATGCAGAGAAGTTGACCGAGGAGCCTGAGACTGAGGAGGAGGCTGACAGACTTACTGAAAGCGTGAAGAGCCACACAACTCCTCAGTAAGAATACTATCTCAGTTAAGGCTGAGGAGCCACACGAGTGAACCAAACTATACCCGTTCCCTTCTGTATATTAATGTAAATATGAAGCAGACAGACACGCAGCCTTCTGGTGCAGACGTTAGCATCAGCATGAACGCTGTGATTTTCTCACGAAAGCCTGAAACACGAGGAGTGACTGAGTCGAGAGTAACCTAGTTCTCCTTCGGGAGGACAGTGAGGAAATAAAAAGTAATACAGTCAGCCGTTTCAGTCAGAAATTTCAGCCGCTATTTTGAAAAAAGCCAAACAATCTCGACGCCCCACCACTAAAATACCAAAAGAGCCAAAACAGCACTTCCACGACCCAAAACAGCGAGGGCAGCAGCGTCTGCTCAGTGTACTCACCCTGCGCTTCTCCTTTGTAGAACTGGTTTGTCGTTTCAGTGCCGAGCCGAGAGAAAAAAAAACGAGCCGAACTCAGATTCCCATTGTCAAAAAATGTACACCGACAGCAGCTATTAAACAGCGATCTCACAGGAGGGTTAGCGAGGCTGTGAGAGAGAAATCCATTCAGCGTTCCGGAGGGGCGGGTTAGTTAGTTAGTGAGGTCATGACGGGGATTGCCTGAGAATCCGCGCAGCAGCAGCAGCAGCAGCAGGAGGAACCATCCCTGAATGCGACTAAAATATCTGTAACGAAGGGTTAGCCGGCCTGACCACAACACACAGTGTGAATAAACGTCGCCTGCTGTTACAGTGAGGGGTCTGAGCGCAGCTGCCTCGCCTCGCCTCCGTTGCTGAGAAACAACATTGAGGCGACTGGGAATGAAAGCCACACTGGCTGTGAGGAAACTGAAAGGAAGGAGAAGAGGGGAGGAGGGTGTGTTTGGTGCCTTGACATGAACAGAACAGAGAGAAGGCTCGGAGCCCATTGGTGTGTTCGCCGACCGGCGGGTGCTCCTGACAGCTCCCAGCAGGGGGCGCACGAGCACCACCAGAGAGGAGCGATAGGATGTTCAATCTGTGCCACTTTTGAGATTACTTTCTGTAACTGTGTTCTGGTCTGGAAGGTGCTGAATGTACTGGAAGCTGAGTGAAATGAAACAGACGAGGTTTAATCCTGTCGCTAGTTTCTTTAATTTTTTCTTTAATTCTAACATGTTAGTGGCTGAATCCCATCCCTACTACTCAGATAGTGCAGTACGTTACTACACAGAAACTGGTGCACTATAGTCGAAAAGGGAGCCATCTGGGGTTCATTCAAGGCCACATATTTAATAGCCTTTTCTAAAGCCGTTTTCAGTAAACTTTTTTTTTTTTCATTACCGTTTCAGTCATGGAAGCCTCAAGTTTCTCATAAAATTATGACTTACTATCTCATGATACTTAAGAGCTCATAATAATGACTATCTTTGAGATTCTAGGTAATAATTTTGAGATACTAACTGCTGAAGAAAAAAAAATCATAGAAACCAATAAAAGTTTCTGTTGGTTCCTGGTGGTGTCCAATCAGTAATGGTGTTCTGTGTTTTCCTGAAGGGTTGATATCCCAGTGTAAAGGACTCTAGTGGTTTAACTTGTGTTCGTTCTGGGACTGATTCCAGACGCATCTGATGGTTTCCTAATGGAATCTAAAGGTGTTGTACAGAAAACTAGTGGTCTCTAATAGTAATTGCCATTAGCCAAAACCATAAGGTTTTAATCCTTATGGTTCTAATGGTGCGTTTTTAGCAGGGAAGTCATGCATATGAAGTAAGTCAGAATAATGACTTTGGCTGTGTCCGAAACTGAAGGCAGCTGCCTCGGTGCCTTATGGTGATCAAGGTATCTGCAACCGGAACGCGTTTGATACGCGCTTCGAAGGCAGTGATACGTCACGCCGTTGGCAAAATACGATAGCTTACTGCTAGCTGTTAGCGTTAGACGCTAGCAACTTTTACCTAGGAAAAAGTATTTTAAGAAGGCCAGCATGTTTAACTTTTTATAACCAAAGTAAAAAAAAAACACTGTATTTGTGCATAAATCAGTCTCTTTCTTCCACCTTTCCATCACTTCAGAGGAAGCTGTAGGAAAGCTGACCCATCAGTCATTGCAGGTCTCGTAAAGATGCGTGTTCGATTATAACGCTGTAGGACGTTCCGAATGAAGGTTTTTATCAACTGCAGTTCTCTTAACCGACATCCTGTGCCTTCCTGCTTCAGAATACCGACTGAGTAGGCAGTGTTTATTACGTTTCAGACAATAATGTACTGTATCATAATTGTGACTTCCTACTTCTTACTTACGATTTAGTATCTCATTATGAGATAGTAAGTTATTATTAAGAGATACTAAGTCACAATTCTGGCATAGTAAGTCATAATTGTGAGATACTAAGTCAGAAATATGGGGAACTTTGTCCATATTATGAGGTCTCGTTATTATAAAACACACACACACACACACGCACGCGCGCGCACACACACACACACACACATTATCTAAACCGCTTATCCTTCTGGGTCGATGGGGGTGGGGCAGGAAACACCCTGGACAGATCGCCAGTCCATCACAGGGCGTTATTATAAGATCATAGGCACAATTATAAGACATTATAATTATCTTAATTAATTATAAGATACTGAGTCTTAATAATGAGATATCTCATTATTATGAGATATCTTATTATTATGAGTTAGCAAGTCATAATTGTGAGATGCTATGTCATAATTAGGAGATATGAAGTTATAATTATGGGGAATTTGCTCATTATTATGACTTACTAAATGGCTTTTTTGTGGCAGAAATGGGCTTTCATATACTGTCTGTGTATGAGATATATACAAATGGTCATTGTCCATTGAGTCCATTGGCCACTTGCGTAATACAGGTGTTCAAATTTCTTGCAGTCAAAAACCTGAGCGGTGAAACGTAGATTTAGACAATTTCCAATTAAACATTTCACTAACGAGATTTTATGCAGCTCACTTAAGGTAAAGGGAAACTTAAGGCCAAATTTCACTTAAGATGTTTTATGCAAGTAACCACAGATTTGTGCACTTGTTTGCTGAGCCTTTTTTAACTACAACCCCATTTCCAAAAAAGTTGGGACGCTGTGCAAAATATAAATGAAAACTAAATGCAACAATGTGCAAATCATTTAAACCCTATATTTGATTGAAAATAGTACAAAGACAACATGTCAAATGTTCAAACTGAGAAATTTGAAATCTGGTAAAGTTGTCTAATGCTAAAAAAAAACCACTAGTAGTTGATTTGCAACAGGTCAATAACATGATTGGGTATAAAAAGAGTGTCCCAGAGAGGCTGAGTCTTTCAGAAGTAAAGATGGGGAGGGGTTTACCACTCTATGAAAGACTACATGATCAAATGGTGCTACAATTCAAGAATAACGTTTCTTAATGTAAAATAGCAAATAACTCTTGCTTTTCATTATCTATGGTACATAATATCATCAAAAGATTCAGAGAATCTGGAGACATCTCTGTATGCAAGGGATAAGGCCAAAAAACAGTATATGCTGGGCATGATCTTTGGGCCCTCAGGCGGCACTGCATGAAAAACAGACATGATTCTGTTGTGGAAATCACTGCATGGGCTCAGAAACACTTCTGAAAACCACTGTCTGTGAAAACAGTTCATCACTGCATCCACAAATGCAAGTTAAAACTCTAAAATGCAAAGAAGAAATCATAAACGTACATGATCCGGAAATGCTGCCACCTTCTCTGGGCCCAAGCTCATTTAAAATGGACTGAGGGGAAATCGAAAAATGTCCTGTGGTCTGACGAATCAACATTTGAAATTCTTTTTGGAAATCATGGACACTGTGTTCTCCGGCTAAAGGCCACTCAGCTTCTTATCAGGGCACAGTTCGAAAGCCAGTATTCATGATGGGATAGGGGTGCATTAGTGCACATGGCATGGGTGACGTGCACATCTGTGAAGGCTCCATTAATGCTGAACGATATATACATGTTTAGGCAACATATGCTGCCATCCAGATGACGTCTTTTTTAGGGAAGGCCTTGCTTATTTCAGCAAGACAACGTCAAACCACATTCTGCATGTATTACAACAGCATTGCTCCGTATTAAAAGAGTCTGGGTGCTAAACTGACCTGCCTGCAGTCCAGACCTGTCACAACTGAAAACATTTGGAGGGTTATGAAATGAAAAATACAACAAATGAGCCCCAAACTGTTGAGCAGCTGAAATCCTATATCAAACAAGAACAAGAAAACAATTCACTTCCAGAACTACAGCAGTATCTCTTGAGTTCCCAAATGCTTACAGAGGATTGTGAGTGATGAAACACAGTGGTAAACATGCCCCGTCCCAACTTTTTTGGAATGTTTTGTTGGTATCAAATTCAAAATGGGCATATATTTTTTATTATTTGCACATCACTACATTCTTTTTTTATTTACATTCTGCACGGCATCCCAACTTCTTTGGAAATGGGGTTGTACTATACTGACCCTTACTGACAGATGGTGCTGGAACAGCTGGACTCTATCAGGCAGGTCAGTGCAAATGAGCCAGCTTTTCAGTCAGCTGTGGTTTAGGTCATTAACTGATGGCTAGTAACAAAAGCACAAAAGAAATATCACTGGTCCATTGACCTTTACTATCTTCCAGTAACGTCAAGGTCTTTGTCTCCACAGATCAGTGGTTACTAATCCAGACCTATACATTTTATTGTTTTTTCTGTTCTTACACATGGTCCAAGTCAGGAAGAGTTTGTTATCCAGGACCAGGATCAGGAACCAGGGCCACAGATGTTTGCCTATCTCAGATGACGGTATGTTTCTCCTACAACTGGTCAATGTGTATTTGGCTAACACAGATCAAACAAAGCCCTGGCTGCTTCTCATAGGATAGAGAACAGTTGCTCCATTGCCTCCAGAATTAAGGTGAGAGGTTGTTGGAAGGTAGAATGAGCAACAGACTACTGTAAACTGCCCTTTTGAAGGTGAAGACTGTTCAAAAGAATGTGATTTGAACATGCTGAGCAGTCTGAGACATAAATTTGACAAAATGCTTAGCTAGCTTGATCATACCTGTTGTTTTTCATGCAAATGAAAAAGTCAGAAATAGCAAACCTAATGACAGTATGGCATCGATTGCTGTAGTGTCGTGGCTAGTGAATTCAGCTACTTTAAGGTGCACCTACTGCTTACTGTGTTCAGTTGTGCACAAGCAACTTGTATAATTTCCATAGAAAAGTATTGGTCACCATGCCCAATACCAAGCATCAGCTATAGGGGTTGAAACACTTATTGCAAAGGAGGAGGAGACAGTTCACTGATTGATAAACAAATGGGAAAATGGTGTGTGTTTATTGGGAAAGTCCCTCCCTTCAATAAAAAGAGCCAGTATGTAAAGATATATGCTCATATATTTTAATATATTTTTGAAATGTTAATGTGGCTTTCAGTTTCAGGTTTACAAGTCTCTCTTCATTCCAAGAGACAGGAGTCAGGTTTTGTATGACTCTAAAAACTGCCTGGGTGCTTTGCCAGGATGCCTGTTGAGTGGACAGACTTTCCCAAAGGACTTTGGTACAAAACTGCTGTGGAGCAGTGGAGCTGCATTCTTTGGAGTGACAGAGATCCTCACAGCAATGTTCCAACATCTAATGGAAAGTCTTCTCAGAAGAATAGAGGCTGTTAATACAGTAAATGGGAACCAATTCCCTATTAATGCCATTGATTTCAGAAGAAATGTAGGATGAACAGGTGTCTGCAAAGTTTTGGACATAATGTAGCCTTCATAGGAAAGAGACTATTTGCTCTCACTCCCCCTGCTGATAGGGACCAGATCTAGAGCAGCTGCTGGAGGACACCGTCTGTCCTCTCTTTGGTGAGCAAGGACAGTCTGTTAAACGGTGGCTTTGGATGAAACATCCATGACTCCAGCAGAAATTTAAGGTAACTGGGCCACCTATTGATGTAACTGGGGCACTCTAACGTAATGCTGACTATCCAAAGACAAAGGTAACATTAAATATAGCCTCCTCATGTTAAATGAGTTTAATTTTACATGCGTTTTATTATTCATGAATAAATTAATGTCTCTAATCTCTATCGAAATGAATCATTCTGCTGATACGTCATTCCTTTTACGTACATTTTATGCGCAGCGCTTTATATTTCTGGTTTCTCTTGGCTACAAGGCATACCAAAGCCATGATGGAGTCCCTTTATATTATTCTAAGAATGATGGGATAGAAATGTCAGCAGGTTGACGGCAGAGCTTTCATTCATTAGAGTGAGTATGTACCTCCAGTCTCAGCCTTTTCCAGCTCATTCTGTCTACACACATCAGACCAGCAGACCAGATCATGTTCATTATCTTTCTAGTCTGCATGCCGCCGCGTCTGGCCCTGCATACACAGCAGGAGCTGTCGATATTCACCACTCATATGATACTTCAGCTGTTCAGGCCTTTATCTCCCAGGCACACAGTGCGGATGAATTCCCTGGAGTGTATATAGCGGGGAAGGAGAGTGGAAAGAAAAACAAGGAATGTGATGGGGGAAATATCACTCTGCTTCTGGCCTAAACAGAAGTATATCCATGGGATTCAGAAGAATAAGCTGAAGTTCAGTGATATCCTTCACCACCTGCTTTGAAATTTAGAGAGAAATTTGTTTGTAGAGATAAAGGTCTGTTAAAGACGTCTTATGTAGTTATGAAAGGACTTTGACATTTCATTGTAATATTCCTTTTGTGTAGTAGAAAAATGAAGATGATCCAGTGTCTTGTCTTCTCAGTCTGGTTCTCTAGAACTGGAAAGACCCACTACAAATGCAGTGTAGAATATGCACTTCACCAGTTCAAATAAAAGAAATTAAAAGTTAAAGAAATATTCCAGCATTTTTTCCCAGCATTTTAAAATCTGCTCTCTATCTGCTGCATCTGTAGCACACAATCAATTACTAGTAATTGGCAAAAGACTAGAAAACTTATAGACTTGAAATGCATTTTATAATAGAAGCCGATGGTAATTATAAGGTATTATAAGTGTTTTTTGAGCAAATAGGATTTCTGTTCTTTTTTTTAAGTACAGAATGATGGACTGTAATTACTGCCTGTGGTAATTGATTGCCTGCTACAGATGCAGCAGATAGGGATTAGGGACTGGATTGAAAAACACCACTTTTCTGGAGCCTCTTTGTGATTCTGTCAAACGTAAAATGCCTTAGAGGTCAATGAAAGCAGTACTACAGCAAAATGTATCACTGTGCTGCCCCCTGCTGTTTAAAGAAGCTAAATGAAATTAACTTGACTTACAAAGTAAAGTTTGACCCTTCTCATAAAGTGTCTTACTTTAAAAAAAATACTGGGGAGCTAACAGTTAGCATACTAATGCTAAGTATTTTTTTTACCTGGTCCCTGAAGGTTAAGGAAAAAAAAACAGCCGCCCCCTGTTAGTCAAAGCTGTAGTGTGATATAGCAAATATAGACACCGACATTATGACCACATCCTTGTTTCTACTGACGTGGTGGTGGTGTGTTAGTGTGTGTTGTGCTAATACGAGTGGATCAGACACCGCAGTGCTGCTGGAGTTTTTAAACACTGTTTCCACTCACTGTCCACTCTATTACACTCCTACCTTGTCAGTCCACCTTGTAGATGTAAAGTCAGAGACGATAGCTCATCTGCACACTGCACAGTGTTGGTCATCCTCTAGTCCTTCATCAGTGGTCACAGGATGCTGCCACAGGACGCTGTTGCCTGGATATTTTTGGTTGGTGAACTATTCTCAGTCCAGCAGCGACACTGAGGTATTTAAAAACTCCAGCAGCACTGCTGTGTCTGATCCACTCAGACCAGTGCAACACACACTAACACACCACCACCACCACATCAGTGTTACTGCAGTGCTGAGAATGATCCACCATCCAAATAGTACCTGCTCTGTGAGGGTCCATTGGGGGCCTGACCACTTAAGAACAGGGTAAAAGGGGGCTAACAAAGTATGCAGAGAAACAGATGGACTACAGACTGTAATTGTAGAACTACAAAGTGCACCTATATGGTAAGTGGAGCTGATAAAATGGACAATGAGCGTAGAAACAAGGAGGTGGTCATAATGTAATGCCTGATCGGTGTATGTATATATTTCATACAGTTGTTGGAATGTGAGGGAGATTTTTTTTTGCTTAGTTTTTTTGTACAAGTGATTATAAGAGCCTCCAGGGCTTTCGTAAAAGATTATTTTGAACCAGGGGGAAGCCAAACTTTTGCATTCGACTGCTTGGACCGTGATCTTGGAACACAGAAGCTATAAAATGTTGCTTAAGCTATTTTGAGATTTTATAAACTTTAGCCACAATGGACACTTTATTCGGAACATCATTCTAAAACTGCTCTCAGTCTGAATACTTTATGTTATAGATTCCACAAGGTGCTGGAAACATTTCTTGGGAGATTGTGGTCTGTGTTGACATGACTGCATTGCGTAATTGCTGCAGATTTGTCAGTTGCACATTTATGCTGCAAATTTCCTGCTCTACCACATTGCAAAGGTGCGCTTCAGGGGTACTACACATGACAAGGTGCTTTATTACGCTGGAAATAGCCATTAGGAGATTAATTAATTGTGGGTAAAAAGAGATGCCCATGGTCAGCAACAATGCTCAGACAGGTGGTGGCATTTAAACGATGCTACATTTGTTATTACATGGCCCATGTGTGCTGTGAAGCATTACCCATACCATTACCCCACCACTACTAGCTTGAACTGTTGATACAAGGAAGGTTAGGTTCCTGAATTCTTGCTGTTTATGCCAAACTCAGACCCTACCAACAGAAATCGACATTCATCAGACAAGGCAATGTTTTTTTCCAATCTTCATCTATCTAGTTTGACGTATGGCACCAACAACCAAGCCATGGTCAAAGTCACTTAGCTCACAGCCATTCTGATGTTTGATGTAAACATTAACTGAAACACTGAAGCACTTGCTGCATGGTTTTATTCACTGTGCTGCTGCCACATGATTGGCTGACTGGATAATTGCATGACTGAGCAGGTGTTCCTAATAAAATGTTTGTTGTTTCTGACATACAAAACATGTTTTTGCTTGTAATAACTAAAATACATGGAAAACAGCAAGGATAATCAAAACAAATTTATTATCCATTCACCGCATGTTTAATGTGTACTTAAGAAATAATTCTAAAAGAGTGTGGCAACACATAATTACGGGCACAAGAGACATTCAAGATATCTTCAAGTCATTGTACAAAATGTTGTGAATTACGACATTTTGGAAACGTAATACAAAAGACTTACAATGTTCTGGGCCTTTACATGTCAGATGTGCTTAATGTGAAGTGTCTTGTGCTCAGATATAGTCTAGATCAGGTGTTCCATTTCAACTCATGCATCATCATTCAAAAATATGCTGTTGAATGAAAACATACATACATTTTGGATTTCATTACAACTTCTGTGATGTAACCACTTAAGAAATGTTTAGTTTTATCAATACTTTAAGATGGGACCCTCTTTCTTTTTGTACCACTGGAATTACAAAGGGTAGTAAAGGAGACACAAAGTGCCATTGTATAGAACATGCATTATGGTGAGTGAGTTCTGCTTCACTGAACGGCCTTCTGAAGTGAGCACTGAAAAGACTGAGCACACTTTCATAATGTCCTGATGAGTCAAGTCTCAAAAGGGATGACCCAATTTAAACTGGTAAACAACGTCTCTAAACTTGCCCACAGTATTTTCATTTCAGGCATCAGGGTTTCGCAGATCAGATGTGGCACTGAGGAGGAGGATGTTGCTCTCCAGGGACATGTTCCTGCCCAAGAATACTTAGCCAATGCAGCAAACGGCAATAATTGTCTAACTAGCTGGGTTTTATAACCAGCTAGCTAGCTTTCATAGGAAAAAGACTATCTGCTCTTGTGTCCCCCTGCTGGTTGGGACTTTAGCTGATCTCCAGCTCCTGAGCTAATGTCGTGATGCATCAAGCTTCAGAAGGGATGACCCAATTTAGACTGGAAACAGTGTCTCCCGACTGACATAGCTAACCTCAGCCATGTAATTTCCATTTCAGTCGTCCGTGTCTCTCGGATCAGACGAGGCGCTGGGGAAGAGGACGTCGCTCTCCAGTGACATGTTGCTGCCCAGGCCCGCCATTCGGCTGCGCAGCAAGAAGTGAGTCCGCCGCTGGAGCAGTCGCTGCTGCTCCTGCTTCAGTTCAACGTATGAGCGTGAAAATGTGTGGAAGATGGACGTGACGGGGAAGGCCATGAGCAGGATACCGCTGAGGATGCTGCTGAGCGCCACCACCTGGCCAGGAATGCTGCGTGGAACCATGTCACCATAACCTACAGTGGTCATGGTGATGACTGCCCACCAGTAAGTGGCAGGGATGCTGCTGAACTCCTGCGTGGCAGCCACCTCGTTCTCAATAAGGTAGAGGAGTGGTGAGAAGAGCGCAATGGCCACACAAAGGAAGAGCAGCAGAAGGCCAAACTCGCGCGTGCACCTGCGAGCTGTCAGGCCCAGAGTCTGGAGGCCAAGCGAGTGCCTGGCCAGCCGCATCACATAGAGGATGCGCAGGGCACGAAGGACGCGCAGCACGAGGCCCACTTTGTCCAGGTAAGTGCTACCAGAGCCTAGACGCTTCTCTCCTGCGGAGGTGCTGTCCACCACAAGCGTGATGTAGTAGGGAAGAATGGCCACGACGTCAATGAGGTTGAGTGGGCGACGGAGGAAGGCCAGCTTGCTTCGGTCCTGGATGAAGCGCAGTGTGAACTCCAGGGAGAACCAGGCCACGCACACTGTCTCCACGATGAAGATGTTGTAGCACATCTGAGAGCACTTACCCTAAGACATACAAGATGATTAGCACATTACTTTAAGACAGCAAGTTACCATAGGCTATGCTCATCAGTTTCTCAATGCATACACAAACATACCACAAACATTTTAAGTGATCCTCATAAATCACAGTATCATAGACACTAGAATGCATTCAAGGGGAATTTTTCAAACTTTCTGTATAATTCAATCATTAAGAATCATTGAACAAAGTAATTCAGACCAGTTGGATGTGAAACGCACCATTCTTGAGAAATTTACCAAGTCAGAATTGTTCATAGTGGTGGTGATACAAACCATACATTAGAAAGTTAAGAAAGTTAATTCATGAAATGGTTATGGATATGTTGCCTCATTCCTGAGACATTGTTTTACGAGAGGGATTAGTTTTGAGAGGTTGTGGCCCGAAGCATTTTTTAAATACATGCAAGGTTGAGAAGTACATGCAGCAAAATATTACCCAAAGAAAACATTTTTTCAGATTCACCACTATTTTACCATTATTAACATTACATATAAAACTCGTAGGTTACATGTAGGTTAACTAGTCATTTTGTACAGTTAATAAAATGTCGATATTTGCCTTGATCCAAGCTGGTAAGTTTCTCTGTAATAAACCATTTCACATTAAACCACACTGCTTACATCTTGTTGACTAAATTATGTTGAAATTTTGAATCAGAGAATCATTCTCCTTCAACCTTCTCAAAGTAAAACTGTTGATCTTGGCTTTACATCCTTGTAATTCAACGAGCTAAAGAGAAAAGCATATGTTCATCTAGTCCAGTCCTGCTGGAGTTCAGTGCAGATTAGCGACTGTACTTGCTCAACAATACCTGATTCAAGTCATCAGTTAATTACCATGTTTAGTTGGTGTGTAACATGATAGAAATCATCAAACTGTGCTGGCCAGGTCAGAACTGATGACCACTGTTGTAGATCAACACTCTCACACTGTGGAGCTTTTTGGCAGGGGTCCTCAACTCCAATCCTTGGGGTCCAGTCACCCAACACACCTGACACAACTTAGGAGTAAATATTTAGCTGAAATGCTGGATCAGGTATCATTACACATTTTAAAAAAAAGTTTAGTAGGCCCATTACACATCACAAAATAATTGTGTTTATCACATTAAATATAATTTACAAAACTGATTAGATGGTCAAACTGAAACTAGTTGGTGAAACATTAGATGCAAAAAATATATAATCTTTTACACAAGATCTTGTAGCAAAACTCAAACAATGCAAAAGAAGTTACACATACTAAGCAAAACTAAATTAGCTTGCAAAATGACATTGTTTTGAAAGGTTATGTATTCTTAGACACTGTAGTAAATGGCGAATGTTAGTGAATATAGTTGTTAAAGCTTGAATATGTTTACTTACATCACTATTCTCACTGCAGGTTAGCTCTGAGTTTTTCATTGACTTGTCAGAAGAAGTAATGTTTAGAGGCAGTTGCTAAGCAGTGATCGGTTGAACATCGTATCAATCATTATTTTGTGATAAATTACAGTCAACAAGATGATTTTAATATAAACACAAATACTAAATTCATCTGATGGGCCGGCTAAAAAGCATAATTGGGCCATATGTTTGACACCCTTGACCTTGAATGTCTTCAGTTGCAGTGCTAACCAGAGAACAGTAGGGGGAAGCATGAGCTACCAAATGTGAATACAGCAACCCACAATCTACCTCTTACTGACTTCAAATTCAATTTCAAAGTGCTCTCTCCATTTGTCTGAACCAGTGCTAACTGTATTCCCCTCAGGGTCCATCACCATGCTCACTTTTTATCTACATTCTCATTAAATGCTATTGCACGTTGCAGACTGCCACCAAAAATCCTGCTTATCAAGAAAGCGTTAACAAACGTGTTGATTTATTTCAGCGACTGAAAATGTGATTGTTATTGCTTTGCAAAAGTTTGCAATGAGAATGCATATTGAAATTCTAACAAGGTTTCCGAAGGTGAGTGTTGTTATTACATGCCTTCAGGCCAAAACAGACCATGCTGATCCATTGGCCTCCCTGTCCTGCAGTGCATTGCGACTAGCCTACCTCGACAAAGCCACTATGTTCCAGCACTGCCTTTTATTTCCTCTACAGACAAAACCCTCAGTATTATGAAACAAACACCCACAAAGGTGGAAATAGCTTAAGTGGTCCTGAAGTGACAGAGTTATGCATAAATTACATGCATTTGTCAGAATAGCTGTGGAAAGATCAAGCACAAAATTACACAGGCATTGAACATTCTAGGACATGTTTGAAAATATTGGATAAATGGTCTGCAAGTTTCAGTGGCTGCAAGCAAATATAAAACTCTGGGTCAAATGTTCTTCTGGAGCCCAGAGTTGTGCATTTTACGCCCACATTTTAAACATAATTTATACTGTACGCATATAATAAATGCGTTCATGTAGTCCCAGTCAAAAGTTCTCATAGAAGGGTTTTCCTTATTTGTACTACATTCCACATTTTAGAATAATGTTGAAGACATTAAATCTTTGCAATAACAAATATGGAATTATGCACTGACCAAAGTGTTAAACAAGTTAAAACATTTTAGATTTTCCATTATTTTCATCTCTTTTGCTTTGATGCAGCTTCGCACAGTATTAGCATTCTCTCAACCACCTTCAACTCCAGAAACCAAGTGGGATGCTTTTCATGCTTTTTCAGCAGTCTTGAAGAAATTTCCACTTACTAGGAGCAGTAAGTGGCAGGTGGAAACTAATACTCCTTACTTTTTGGAGTTTTGGAAATGCATTAATACATACAATTGGGTGACAAATGAAAATAAAAAGCCAGATAAAGTGGCTTTGTAAGGTGTTGGGCCACCAGAACAGCTACAACTATTTCATATTTCATGTATTCAAATGGGATCTTGGATTTGAATCTGTGTATTAAATTTTGTTTAGTCTGTTGCCATTAACAGCTGGAGAGACTGGCACAGGAGGCAAGATTTTATTGGCTGCTGACTCCATCTATTTGCATATTGGACATGTCCTTTGTTTTACTTGCCATTTCTGTGTTGTCTTTCCTTCTAGGCCATTTTCCTGTACATTCTATTTTTTGGTTAATCGCCTAACTTTGTTACACTGGTGCATTACCATTTTCTCTATTGTTCAGTGGAGTTCTAAACTGACTGGGCAGCACAGTGACCACTTTTAAACCTATTCTAGTATGTTGGACCCACATAAGTTAAATCAACAATAAGTGAGGTGCAATGAATGCACTTCACTTATGAATGCAAATGAGTTGATTGTAAATGTGATAGCAGATTAAATTTTAATCAATTTGAGTAAAATATGTTGGATCAACAAAATTGCGTTATTTTGAAAGAAAAGAAAAACAATTAGCTGTTTGGAAATCCTTTACACACAATTAAGATCAAGTTAAGAATAATGGATCTCATTCACCAATATCTTCCTAAGTTTTTTTCTTAAATTTGACTTGAGAAACGTCCCAAGAAAAAATCTACGTCAGATTCATGATGTTTTCTTAAACCACAGAATTGTTTGCATCTTTGTGCTTTTGAGTGTGTATAGATTCTTTTTTAGCTAAGAACAAACCCCAAATAAGAAACATTGGTGAATGTCAGAATCTTCAGGAAAACTGCATAAGTGCATTTTAAGAAGAAATTTCTTCTTAAGAATAGCTGGTGAATGAGGCCCATTGAGAGTGAACTCTCAAATATGCATTCGTCTCTTGTAATGAGGGGTTTTTGCACAGCAACCCTACTATAATATCCCTCTCTATGTTGTTGTGGACAGACTGTTCTCATCACATAGTCTAATTATATCCTGCATTGACACTCTTGGTTACCTGAGGAACAGTTGCTCTTCTGTTTTTCCTTACAAATCACACCAATACAGGAGCATCACGGTCATTGAATGTGTGCTTTCGGCCACAATTTACGGCCCTATTTGCTAATGCCTTACACCTCAGCAATGAACACTCTTTCAAAGTGATTAAGATCTTTTGCCATCTTGATCCAAAATCAAGGTCAACTGGGCCTGTTCAGCGGGTAAATAAGATAAGATACTCCTTAATTAGTACCACAACGGGGAAATTCACATTTATACATGCCATGGAGCGTTGTAGTATGTTAATTGCTTTAAGGTATCATGGAGCACACCTGTCTGGACGCATTTGCATGTGTTATTTTTCTCCATTTATTTATTCAGGTCTTTCCTTTGTCACCCATCTGTTGGTATCAATATCGCTGTTTATAATGGTCTTGGACAAATTTCAAGCATTTAAGCATAAGCATTTAGAGTAAACTTTCTTTAAGATTATGAAAACCATGCTTTCAATCAGTTGTCCAAACTTAGTGCTGGTTATACACTCACTGAGCACTTTATTAGGTACACCTCACTGTCCATATTATCAGCATCACTTACCATATAGGTGCACTTTGTAGTTCTACAATTACAGATTGTCCATTTCTTTTCTGTAGTCCAATTGGTTATCCCACTTTTACCTCATTCATCAATGGTCAGGACCCCCACAGGACCACCTCAGAGTAGGTATTATTTGGGAGGTGGATCATTCTCAGCTCTGCAGTGACACTGATGTGGTGGTGGAGTGTTAAGGTGTGTTGCACTGGTACGAGTGGATCAGACACAGCAGTGCTGCTGTAGTGTTTAAACACCTCAGTGTCACTGCTGAACTGAGAATAGTCCACCAACCAAAAATATCCAGGCAACAGTGTCTTGTGGCCAGCATCCTGTGACCACTGAAGAAGGAACAGAGGATGACTAGCACAAACTGTGCAGCAACAGATGAGCTATCACCTATGACTTTACATCTATAAGGTGGACTAACAAGGTAGGTGTGTCAGACTGGACAGTGAGTGGACACAGTGTTTAAAAACTCCAGCAGCACTGCTGTGTCTGAAATATTTGTACTAGCACAACACACACTACACGCCACCAACATTTCAGTGTCACTGCAGTGCTGAGAATGATCCACCACCCAAATAATACCTGCTCCTGACCATTGAGGAACGAGGTAAAGGTGAGGCAACAAATTATGCAAAGAAACCGATGGACTACAGCAGGGGCGTCCAATCTTATCCACAAAGGGCCGGTGTGACTGCACATTTTCAATTCCAAACAAGCTGGAGCACACCTGATTCTACTTTTTTAATCAGTTGGTTTCAGTCTTCAAACAGTTGATCGACCTCCTGCTTTGCTGGAATGAAAATCTGCAGCCACACCATGGCAACCCTTTGTGGATAAGATTGGACACACCTGGACTACAGTCTGTAATTGTAGAACTAACAAAGTGCACCTATATGTTAAGTGGAGCTGATAAAATGGACAGTGAGTGTGGATACAAGGTGGAGTGTGGATAGTAGCAATTAGCATTCAAATCCCTGCTAAGCTACATCTTAAGAAGTGTGCATCAGAATCCATATCTGAATGATAAAGCAGTGGCTTGGATATGTTGCTGCACACAGGCAGACTTTGATGTAGACAAAGAGCTCATATTTTATGTTGTAAAATGTAAAGAGGTTCTTTTAAGGCACTACAATGCTGCTGTAATTCATAATTGAAAATTACATGTCCCGCTTCTCTTTCTTCGCTGAGGGCAGCCATGTTAATTACTCCTCCGACTGATGCCAGACTGGATAACAAGCGCTTTAATTCAATTAGCAAAAGAGGTTTCTAAATGAGTGAGTCAGTGTGTAACTGAAATTGATTATTTCTGGTTTTAGATCACCTGCCCTGTAGAAGCATGCCTGGAAAACCATTGTGTTCTGTACTGTGCAAATCATGATATAAGTCTTCTTTGTATTAATACATTGTATTATCTTTGTTTGCATAGTTTAAAGCTGACGGCATGAAGTGCCTTTAATTTGATCTCGACTGTGGATCAAATCTCACTGGCTTACATATGAAATACACAAAAATCACCTAAAGTAGAAACTATGCTTTGAGTTTTCTGAGGTCAGACTGAAGCAGATGTTTAATCAGAGTGTCCAATTCCAGTTTTGGACGTGAATTCGCTAAAGGCCCTCCACGACTGGGGGTGGACATGGTGCATTATGGTGTGTTTAGATAAAAACTATTTCACCTCTCCATTCATGGCTGTTTCTTCTCTTTAGAAAGCATGTGAATTTGTGACAGCAAACATGTGTGCAATAGAGAGATCTTGCGTTTTCTTTCATCCTCCAAGCTGTTCTGTGCTAAAATAGCCTACACTCTTAAACAAGGTGGTTCTTCAAGTGTTCTTTAGTAAAGACAATGGTTCTATATAGAACAATGAACATTCAAAGAATCATTTGCATGCTTAAATGGGTCTTTGCATGGAGAAAGGGTTTTTTCTGATTGATAGAGAATGTGTTGCATATGGTTTCAAAATAGGCCTGCTATTGTTATGATGTCAAGCTTGTCAACAAAACGAGAACGCTTTCTAAAAAAGGTTCTATATAGAACCATAATTAACATATTCTCCCTTAATCTGAAGAACAATTACTCCACGCAAAGGACCATTTAAGCATGCAAATGATTCTTTGTTCATGGCTCTATATAGAACCTCTGTCTTTACTAAAGAACCCTTGATGAACCAGGTTTGTGTTTTGTGGTAATTTTGGGTTTCTTTTACAGCAGTTGAAACCTTTTGTTCTGTCAACAGATTCAGAATCTTTGATTCCTTAAGAATCATGATTCATCTAGTAATCCAGAATGGACTGCTGCCAGCTTGGTCTGTTGTGTTCATGTAGTGAGTTAACGTACAAACTGGTAATGTCCCAACTCATCTAAACTCAAGTAGCATGGAATTTGCCTGTGTTTACCACCTTACAACTTTGCAGGTCATTCTGTACCTTTTGGCAAACTCAGAATTTCATGAGTGTACGAGTTTAAGGACCAGCTGAATGCACCGTTAGAACAAAAATTTGGGCACTCACATCCTCCTCCTCCTCTCTCATAGCAGGCATGGTGCTTATGGACAGGTTGATGGCCGTGATGGTGACAAAAAGCACCGAGAGACAGGCGAATATTTTGCCAGGAAGTCCCGAGTGGGGCTTCTCCACCATGTCCCTCAGCTTGCCCATGCAGCGGCCCAGCCGGGACTGTCCCGCCAGGCCACCTTCACTCTCCTCATCGTCCTCGTCCTCTTCCTCCTCTTCTTCGGCCGCCCTTTCCAGCTCATCACACTCCTCAGCGCGCTGCAGCAGGCGCCTCCGGCAGCACCACTCCAGGCTCTCCTCTGGCACACCCCAGTAGAGGAGCTCCTCGCGGAAGGAGAGGGCGCACATCTCTCGCAGTGAACGAAGCTTGCCGGCACGTAGGAAGGTCAGGATAGTGCGGAAGGCGCATGGGCTGCGGTCAAAGAAGAACTCATTGCGCGCCACGTCGTAGTCGTCGCACACGCGCATGATCTCGTCGAAGCTGCTGCACAGGCGCAGCTGGCCCAAGCGCGACAACGGGAAGTCCTCCAGCGTGGTCCACGGCAGCTGGTAGCGCAAGCCACCCACGTTGATGATGACGTGTAGCCGCTGGCCATCGGCCGGACAGGCCGCAACATCGGCAGTATCAGGCGAGAGGAGACACTGGGCCCGCTTGTAGTAAACACCCTTGAGGGCTTCACGCTCCTGGACAGGCGGCGGGTTCAGGGAGGTGTCTGAGGCGCAGCTCAGGGCACTGTAGTCATAGTCGGAGCCATCCCCAGCCAGCAAAGTCATCTTTCACCCGGCCAGCTCCGGCTCACATGCCTGGAGGCTGGCACTCGCTCGCTGGCCCTCACCTGCGCAACAAGAATTTCATGAGTGATGACAGTCAGGAGAATGCTGTGAGCGGAAAGATAGAAAGCTTTTACGTTTTTAGATGTGAAATACCTCATGAACAGAGCTGTATTAAAGGCATTCTGGGGCCCTGGGTTAACAAGTCGGGGGTGGGGGGACTTTGGGAGGCTAAAGCCTAAAGACAGCCATTCGAACGTGGAACTAGGTAAGAAAGTACACAGATTTTTCTTAACTTTTGCACATTTACTTGGATAAGATGTAATCATAATCATTCAGAATGATCTGATGTGAAATGCACCACTCCAGAGAAACTGGAGGTGATAAGAACCAAACATGTAATGCCTCAAAAAGGTGCATCACCAAAGTACATTGCACAGTGCCTGAGGCATTGTTTTATGATAGATTTGAGCGAAAGTTTTGTCTTTAAACATAGATGATTTTACATAAATTCATGGTAGAGAGGTACAAGCAGGGTATTGTAAGGTAAAACAGTCCCCAAAGAAAACGTATTTTTCCAGATTTACCTCTTTTTAGCATTATCAACATGACATAAAAACTCGGATTAACTGGTCATTTTGGATTGTAAATAAAATGACAAATTTGTATTGCAGACATTGTGACCCCTGATTTCCACCACCACCACTGTAAAAAAATAAGCCATGTAAAAAAAAGAGTCTGAAAAAGAAATGATGGAAAGCATAGAGAAACAGGACATTGCTGACTACAATGAAACCAAACCACAACTATTTTTGTTTGGCCTTAATTCGAGTTTTGTTGTGTGTATTTAAACATTCGACAACATTCTGAATAAAGTGATGAATAAAGGCAATGAGAGGCAGAAATGCCTTCTGATATGAACAGCCTTTACTGACAAACCAGCGCTCCAAACACAGACGTTTTGTAGCACAGCTAGACATTTAATAAGAAATGTTGATAGAAGTAAAAGGTGGGGTTAGCTGTTAAGCTAGCTGAAGCACACCGTTGTGTGTGTGTGTGTAGTGCATCATCATTCATGCAGCTGCTCTGTTTTAGCTTAGAAGGAACATGCAATATCACTGGGAAGTAATCACTGAGAAGATAACTAAAAGACTTTAGCCAGTACATTTCTGGTAAACACAGCTTTGAACAGCTGATTTTCTGATTTTCTTTGGGACACATTTACTTCAAAACAGTGGGATCTAACTGCTCACCATGTGGCCATGAGGGACAGGGATGCAGTCTTATACTTCCTGCTCTAAAATGCAGGGGTGTGGTTACAGTAAGCCTCCCCCATGGACTAAAACTTTTTGTGTTTCTGTATTGACATGAAAACATGGAACAGCGTTTTCTCAATTAAGTTTTTCTTATTTAGAAATGAAAATTCGTAAATATAAAAAATGGAAAATAAAAAATGGTAAATCTAAATCTTTCAAGTTTACTTTAAAATCGTTACTATCCTTAAGGTTTTTTTAAAAATATATTTATATAGAAAGTTCTCCAGTCCTGTAGGGCTGGATTCCTATACAGTTCAGTGATTTTCCTACTGAAGCACATCTGACTTAACTCATCAGCTAATTACCAGCATTTTTTGCTGTGCTATAGAATGGAAATCACTAAACTGTGCTGAACTCTGGCTCTCAGGTTCCCACCCCTGCTGTGTATGATGATTTTGCATATATTTAGCTTATTAAAATCTCAAATAATGCATTGGGTTTAAATAGCTCATAACAATCTTAGTAATTATGTAATGTTGGAGTACTTGATTTTTTTAAAATAGTTTATTTTATTTATACTGAGGGGCCGCAGTTTGAGCTAATTTGGTAGAATGGTGGTCTGTCTGCCATGCAAGATAAGTAAAAGTATGAGAAAACTAAAGCACAAAGGGTGCTGTATGAAAGTGGTTCAGTGGCATTGTGTGTGTTAGAGTTACACATTTGCTTACAGCTATAGAACTGACTCCATTAGCCTACTTTCGCTTAACATCAAAGTATGAGTGTGAAAAGAGCTGCAAGATAAAAGAACACATTTTTTGGTTATAGAATAGAGAGATGTGTTTCTGGTTGGTATGAAATCAAAGTGATTCATGTGAATGACCAATTAATGATTACTCAGTAGCAATTCATCATGTGTGGAATTCATTCATTTTTCTATTTTTATAGCTGAACTTAGAAAGAACTTCTGAATGAGCCACTGCCTGTTTGCCAGCAGGTGAAGGCATTTTATTTTAACTAATATGAAAAGAAGATGTATGTGTGACCATGCGATTATATCTGTTTGTCCTGAGCATAACAGTTCATAAGATATCCTAACACTACACTATACTATACTGTGATATGTAACAGATATGTAGGTCTTTTGCTGCTCTGGCTCAAGTTCATTTAGGAAGTTGGGGTTTAGGGTTAGGGTTTAAGGTTAGAGTGTTAGGGGGGCTAGAGTTATGGCTTAGGGGTTAGGATGTATTACAAAATTAAAGCTTGTACAGAAAACCTGAGATAACTGTTCCTAATAAATAACATCACATGACTGATTAATGTTCATGAATCAAAAACAAACAAATGAATGACCTATGGCATCACAAGCCTTCATAACAGACATTGTTAGCTCTGAGAAACTCATGCTACTGCCAAGCCTTTAAACACAGGTTGATGATGGAATATGTGCATGTACAGATTTGAGAAGATCTGATTTTTACATGACAACAGCAGAACACTGTCATATTAACACAAACAATCAGATCTGTTTGATTCCAAACATTGTGGAGTTGACTCCAATTCTGATTCAAAGTCATGGGAATTAATGGAGTCGATCTTAAGAATGGTTTCCATACAATAATTTCACTGACTTTTAAATAAAAAAGCATTTCTATTGCACTTTTGCATTCTCATGTGACCATGAAGTGGCAATTGAACAGGAAGGGGTTAAGTGTAAACATATGCGAGAGTTGAAATCCTGGTAAGATTAATGTAACAGTTTATCTGCACAAGACCTGCTATATTTACCACAGAATTAATGGGAGGGATCATGTGTAAACAGAAGCAAGAAAATGGCTAGCAAAGCTCTTTGTCCCTTATTCATTAATTGCTTATGGTGAAATCTGATTGTAAAATAAGTAAACGCAAATTTCACTGACATTTTGTATTTATCATTTTATCTTTGGCCTATCTGTATGATCAAACTCACATCCCATAGGAATGCATGTAAATTGCAGCATAAATGTTTAACAACCTGAAAAAAAATCCATGATTTGCAGTTAACTAACCAAAACTATTAACAATATTATCTGTAATACCAATAATAAGAATAAAATAGAAATAACAATAATACTACTAATAATTTCTGCACGTGGCAATCCAGTACAAAAGTGGATGTACTTATTTTATATGAACACTGGTATAAACAACTATTCTATATTGCATTTAAAGACATATTACATTGTGCTTTTGTTTCATACTGTTGACCCCACCCATAAAAAATAAACAGTACAGACAAAGCTGGTGCAGAAGCATCTCATATACCATAATAATACAGCATTTAAAAATGTTATTTAAGGAAAATATTACTCTCACAATAACATCACTCTAAGGTCTTAAAAAAAGAAGAGGTTTTGTTTATTACACATTTTATTCCTTATAGTCTTTGTAATATTAACACTGTAAAGTTTGGTCACTACGGGAAGCAAATGGGACCTCAAACTCCGCCTACATGTACAGCTATTGGCCGCTCATGAGCCGCTGAAGGCTGACGTTTTATTGGCTCACTCCTGAAACATCTACATGAATTAGGGCATGCTTAATGTAAATGACATGTAAATGAGGTGCTGGTAGGCTGGCGCTTGATTTCATGCACTGAAGCTGATTCATCATTTGCGTTTAAATCTCTGTTTGTTTTCGCATTATATGAAAATTTCATGAATCAGACCCAGAGCAGTTCATACGTTATTACAGACAGTCAGACTGTACTCTGTTTACGCAACTTTGATGACCAAGGACCATTGTTTCTATAACGCTTTTGTTTTTACAGAAGTACATGATTCTGTACTGCGGCATACCACTAAAGAGAAGCGACAAAATCTGCCTCTTGAGTGTGCGTGCTACTGTTCAAAAATGACCAGCTTGACCAGCAAAACTGACCACATTCAGTTAAAAATTTGAATTTTTAGTTGGTTATCCAGTTGGTCTAAAGTAAAACATGTCCAATCTATAGATGTGTGTTGTAGAAGGATGCATTTTTTAGACAGGATGATTAGACAGTACAGTAGATAATCTCATACTCCATGTGTGTGCAAACATGAGTTGACCTCAATTCCCAAATGCCTGGAATCGTAAAATTCACTTTTTGGGATTGATTCCCATCTTTAGTGCCACTTCAACCTGGTAAGGTGAACATAGTCTAACATGCACTTCACCTCAGGCTTGTTAATTAGCTGAGAAGTTGGGTCAGATTGGTTAAACCAGGGAAAACAAAATATGCAGGGCAAGGTTAGCCATGCCAGTGCTGGTTTGGAATACATTCAGATATAGGATAAAGTTTTATGATACTTTAACTTGCTTGAATTTAAAGATTTCCCCATTGCCCAGGGACATCTTCAGATTGAGTGTCTGGACCAAATCATGATTAAATCGGATGTTAAAGGGGAATTCCATCACATTTGTTAAAAATTTCTGCATTATTTAATCATTGAGTTGTAAACATCATTCAAGTCCCAGTTTCCCAAAAGCATCTTAGTGTTAAGATCATATAAGCTTGAAGAGGCTTGCGCTTCCATTTAAGGATCATCTTTTCATTAAAATGGTTTTGAGAAACGAAGCCAGTGATTGGAACAGGAAGTCGCAATATCGCCACTGCAAATACAACCTTTTTAATCTATCCTAAATGACCAGTGAGTCTACATGTGTCATCTAAAGTTTGTAACATGTAATGTTTATAATCGTAAAATAGTGGAAAATGCCCTGCATGTGCCTCTCTACCATGAATTAATTAAAAAAATAACTTTTATGCCAAAACATTCCTAAAACTCATGTTG